CATATTATAGTCTTTAGAGACCAAATGCTGTGAATTAGCTCGTATTTCGGTTTTGAGCATAGAATCATGTGCTGAAGTCCTGTGTTACAACAGAGTAACAATAAAAACTCAACTAGGCAAAGCAACAAAAACTCAACTAGATAAAGCAAAATTAAAAAAAAAAATCCCCTAGCTCCATTTGTTTACTGGAAAAACCATGTCAAAGAAGACTTAATTTTATAAGACTAAATAAATATACTGCAACCAACAATGGACAAAAAGCCACCTTAAATACATATTTTTTCATAACTATAAAGGCAAACAAATTTTTATCTAACCAAAGGGAAAATCTCATCTTAACAAAAACATGGTACTTGTTTGGCAATGGCTTTAATTTCTTAATAATGAAAGAAAAATATAATACATACCTTTAAAATTCAACTGTGTATTTTACCTAAATTACTTCCATTTTTCTGGATTGAATTAAATTTATTTACATAACAAACACTTATTGGATATCTGCTATGTGCCAGGTCCTGAGATGGTGCAACTTTCATTTTTTAATGTTAGCAGACTTACCTAGATGTAATTAGAATTATCTGAAAGTATGATTAATAGGGACCCTGATCTTGGGTCTGCATAATTGCTCATCCATCAGAAATTTCTGATGAATTACTTTATTTGAAAACTACTTCATGCTCATCAAAGACATAGGAACAAATTCCTAAAATCCTTTATTTGGTACTTTTCAGATTGTTTAATTATCACACTTAAAACTATAAAAGATAAATCAAAGAATACTGTATGCAATGTGGTCTCTTTTATTATCTTCTCAAAAGGACATGATAGAAGAAGAAAACTCTAGAGTAATATTTTGCTTTAAAAAATAATTTCTATCGTAATACATAAAGAATGCATAAAAGGAAGTATAAAGCCACGTGCAATTCCTGGCCATTGCATAACTTTCACCTTTGTAAATCAAAGTGTAGGGCAGCAATGCAGTTATTTCTCTAAGCCAGCATGTTACTTTCAGTCATGTCTACCGTGCTTCCACTGCCACTGGAATGCTTAACTTTCCTGAGAGGGCAAAATGTTATAGCGCTAACAAATGTAAAAAGAAATAGACACGTTAAAAGGGCTTTGATAACTTTAGTTAAAACAAACTCATGTTTATGAAGACTTCGTGGCAATGCAATGAGACTGTTGTAATTATCCAATTAAATAAGCTGCTATGAAGAGAAGGAAGAGGAAATGGTCTTTTATTTGTACAAAAGGTTTCTTGAGGAAATAGAATGCTCTTTCCTTCTAAAACATTTTAAATCTATGTAGCATTTATATTGAGAAAGAATTGAACCAGTTTTATTAAATTAAGAATCAGTAGGTAAAATAACAGGAGAGAAAAAGTCTGCAGTTTGAGGAGACATTATGGTCCAACAGACGAGAGCACTGAAAATTACTTATCTAGTCTTGAAGTTTGGGTGACATTGTTTCTTGAAAAAAAAAAAAAAGGACTCGATAGCTCATCTGCCAAAATTAAGAATTACCTGGTATGGTTAGTTCACTGAAATATTTCTGAGATAAAG